TCAAAATTTTCGTGTAGGGAATGAACCGTATGGCCGCATGGTTTAAAGGCTTCTGGTCGTATAGAACAATTGAAAATGGCACTGGAGTTCCTTGAAACTCTTTTTGCGACCGCATGGAAATTGCACTATGCGACCGCATAGTTTTGCCAATTTTCCACTGGATAGCTTTCAGTATTTTGATCATATCTTTCTCTCATGAAATCCGATTGAGACAATTCAAGATGCGTTAGAAACCTAACTCAAATGGATACAATGTTTCTTCATATATCATCTTTCAATTAGATTGTTTTCTATATCAAAAATGGGTCTCAATATGAGGTTGAAAATCGGTGTAAGTTTTCGATTGGAAATTGACGTGTGATCATAATTTGACGATATTTCATCTCTTTGACGTCTTCTTTCTACCAATTGACTCTCAAATCTTCATCGTTTGGTTCGACACAACTTTTGTGTATTTGCACACTAGTTCTTGAACTTTCATTTCCTTTCACTTTGGTCCAATTTCACCTATTTTTTTCCAAATTACGACATCTCCATTAAATTGCGACCTAAATCAAAATATGAGATTAATAAGTACATTTTGGCACAAAATAATCATACGAGCTCATAAAATAAGGAGGGAAAAACATGCATTTTACATTTCTATCAGTTACCGTGCTGACTCTATACTTCAAAAACTAGATATTTACATGGGTAAAATATCATGCTGCCTTATGTTATTTTTTATCAAAAAATTAATTTTTCACGAATAACACATTATGTACCATATGTTACTCTTTATTGAAAACTAGTTAGACGCACGTGCAATGCACGTGCTATTAGCGTAGTTGGCTACTTAATAGCGCTCTTGTGAAAGCTTAATGTAAGGAACATAAATGAAGCACCGGAAGATAGATTTTTGCATCCTGTAAAAGCGAAATAGTATTGTAGTTATTTTTGGTAATGTTTGTAATCTTAGTCATGTTGAAAAACTGATTTGATGTTATACTAATTGTGATTGTATTAGACGGACGATTTGAAAATCTCATGAAAAAGATATTGCATTACTTTCACAAGTTATGTAAGCAGAAAACAAGTATTTACATTGTACAAATCCAATCAGTTATAATTGCTACAATGTTTGGATAGTTAAGGAAAGAGTTTTCAAACAAAGACATTATAAATCATGCCGTCATTAGTGTTGTTTAGACAAAATGAAGACAAATTGTCCAACTACCATCGGTGGGCAAGACTTTGTATACTAAGAGCATTGGGATTTCATCGTTCACAAGTTCGAATATGCACGTGTCACCTATTTGAA